AATAGCCGTTAACACCGTTAAATTATTTATAAATAATTTAACGGTGTTAATGGCTATTTATTATAAATCATCAAAGTTGGGCAATCATCAAAATTATTTATAAATCATCAAAGTTAGGCAACGTAACATAGCTTTTAACAAATGACAAATGTTGTCCTATAATCCTATTAATAAATAAATTGTGTCATATAATGTCTGACAGGATTCGAACCTGTAACCTGGCTGTCAAGACAAGTGTCATAACTATTACACCACAAAGGATTAAGGGTTGAACAGATTGAAATAACGTCAGATACACAGTCACAATTGGTTCGGCTCGAGACACATTATAGCATAATATAAATCAAGATAGCCCTTAACAATGTTAAATTATATATAAATCATTAAAGAAAGCCATTAAAAACTACTGATATTGATTATATTTAGATGAATGTTACAGAGAACAATGTAGAAATGGTCAGTGCAGAAGTGTTTGAAATCACAAAAAAAACCGACGAGATTACTGATGGTGCACTTGAATTGACAGCAATCATCTTGCAGGATGTAGTCTCGCTAGATACCAACTCTACGACGGTTAGTTTACGTTTAGTTATTTATTTTAATATATTAAAGCACATTTAAAGCTGAAAATACATTATGTCAGCATTTAATTTTGAAACAACCATGCTGTGAAAGTAGATTTATTATTTGGAGCTGTATAGCTTGGTGGTTAAGAAACGATGTTTCTGGGTCACAATCTTTGCAAAGTGATCTGTGTTAGCCTCATAGTTCACAGGTATTTTCACCATAAGAAAATAAAAAATGAGTTTGCCAAAAGTGGGGTCCAACAGTCGGCCGGGAGGTCCAAACCAAGGGGCCATGTAGAATGTTGGACAGGATCTCAGAATAAAAAAATTGCAGCGTCAGAAGATAAAGTGTCCAGACCTTTTCTACATGGGGAGGGGAAATATCCCCTCTGACCACTGCAGGCGCCAACACTGAATGTAAACCAGCCCTTTACTTATCGTTTTTGCCAAACAACCAGATTCGATAAAAAAAAAAATTAAAAAAAAACGGTTGACCCTTGCTTCATGATGTATCTTACTTTTGTTTTTTAACTAATTTCAATTCAAATGATTTTCATTTCATTAAGGTTACATCTTCAATAGTTGGTACCGTTAACAATCTATTTAGTATAGATGAAGATATTATAATGGAAAGTCAGATGATGAACCAAGCTCCCACTAGCATCATTTTGTCTCTGGAAAAACAACTTGGGCAAGTTGAACTTCAAAACAATATTTATCAAGAAAGTATGCCCAACGTTGCCGTACTTGGACAGATGTTAACTGTTACGGATGTGAGCAACAACACTGGATTAGCATTTGGGGCAGCCAAGGGTGCAGTTGGGCTGAAAGATGTCACATTTTTGCAAAGGGATTCCATACCTAATAATATCCAGGTTTCTATTGATGTACCTGCAAGCATTACAACCACAATTATGAAAGAAAAAGGTTAAATATCTTTTTAAATGTACAATTATGCTCTGATTCGTAATTAACACTTTGTTAACATAAGGATTATATATTTTTCTTAACATTACCCATGAATCACAAAGGCAGGATACCCAATGTCGCCAGAGGAACGTGCGACTCCATAACATTTCACTAATATAACTCACTGAGTGGAGATCTTGGTGGTGGTTAAGATACTTGCCATTTTCTCATGACCAAAAATTGTCTGCACGCCCTTAGCCTTATAAAGTAAACCTGTTTTTTTATTTAGATTGATTAAGTTCGCATATTCTGTGACTAAACAATTTAATGAAAAAATGTACTTTTGTTTTTATAATGTGCTGAAATTACTCCTGAGTTACACTTTCCATTCATTTATTTGTTATCTATTTATTTATTTTATTTTAGTTACCATCATTACAGTATTCCCATTTCCTATATGGTGCATTACATTAAAAAATTCTATTGTTGTTGTTGTTGGTGTTATTATTATATTAGATATGATATTTCTGTTATTGTTGTGTTCATGTAGGAACTGATACATTCAGAGTGTCTGTTATTGCCTATGAAAGCAGCAAGTTGTTTCAGTCGTCTCAGTTTGATCGTTCATTTCGAAGACCTAATGGTCCGGTTATATCGTTCTCGGTACCGGGATTATTAGAATCTGTTGACTTAAATGAACCACTTACAACTACATTTATTCCTTCTGAGGTATGAATTCATTCCATATATTTATTAACTTACAGTTGAACATCTTGTTTGGGATGTTAAAAATTATGTTATCTAACTGTAGTAATTATTAATTATTACAACAATTTTTATTATTGTTTTATACTAACGAAACTGATTAATTTAAGGTGTATTATGCAGTGATTTACAGAAGCCCGTTAGTGTCAACAGTGAATAAAAATTTCAAATCAGTTAACTGGCGGCCGCCAGATAATTAAGTGGCGGCCGCCACTTAATTATCTGCGGCCGCCGCTTAATTATCCGGTGGCCTCCGCTTAATTATCTGGCACCTGCCACTTAATTATGGGTACCCAGGTTGCGGTATAGCATTATCTAGATGTAGAACAGGCCATTAAAGCGCATGATTGGCCTATCATTTAATATACGGTACGGTACCATTTAGCCTAGTTATTCATTTTAACTACAGCTTGTAATAGCTTATAGGCCTAATAGCAGTCATATAGCCATTCACAAAATATATCTATATCTTTGCTGTAGCATATCAACTGTATTATATGTTTTGCTGTTTATGTGAGTGTGATATTGTCTGTTGTAGCTGGGTTAAATGTTAAAGGGCATTTAATAGTGATTAAAAGCATACAATTAGCTGGTCACCAGCTATACCTTATAATGGCAGTCACATAGCACCCATTTCAAAAAGTGTTAGCAATTACATGTTAAGTATTAAATAACGATTAAAAGCATGTTCGTAGCTGTTTATACAATAGCTATAGCTTATAATAGCAGTCATATAGCACCCATTTCACAAGATATAACATCACTAGGAAGCATTAAATAACGATTAAAAGATTGTCATTAAATAGGCTTATGCGATGATAGGCGTTAGGTTTAAGCACGTCATCAGGCGTATGCGACGATAGGTTTTAAGGATGTCAGCCATTTTACCATGTCCGCTAATAAATAGGTGTTCGCATTAGCCATTGCATTAATGAAGAGGAATTAGTGTTAATAAGATTTTCAGACTGAGTTGCCAGTAGGAACTGTGTACACTTAAATGTATAGGCATTTTCACCGGTCATTTGCAATTGAATATGTTATTTTTCCTATTTGTTATCGTCACAAACGTCTATTCAATGTTAAAATACTGACGTGCTCCAAACTTAATCCACAAAATAACCATATAATCTATCGGCGCAAACGCCTGACGTTCTTAATTGTAAAGCCTATCGTCCGCAAACGTCTATTCAATGGTAAACCCCTGATGTGCTTAACCCTAACGCATATTTTCGCAAACGCGTATTCACCTGATGTGCTCAACCCTAATACCTATCATCGCAAACGCCTATCCAATGATATACTGCTGGCGTGATTAACCCTAATGCCTATCGTTGCAAACGCCTTTTAAATGGTAATGTGCTAAATTGCTTAACGCTAACGCCTATCGGTGCCGATGCTTGACATGTTTAACCATAACGAATATCGTTGCAAACGTCTGTTCAACGGTAATCTGCTGACGTACCTAACCCTATAGGTGCAAAACCCTTCAAGGGTAAATGGTAAACTGCTGGCGTGCTTAACTCTAACGCCTATCATCGCAAACGTTGTGTAAAAAATGCAGTTAAACCATTGTGGCAGCTACTAACATGCTTTTAATCAGTGATTGCTATATTTTATGATATTGGTGCTATAATATAATTGATATAATAGCTAGATAGTGACCAGCTACCATGCTTTTAAACACTACCGTATTTAATGCTTAATTTTAATCGCTATTTAATACTTAACCCTGTAATTGCAAATATTTTTTTTAATTGGTGCTATATGACTGCCATTATAAGGTATAGCTGGTGAACAGCTACTAGTATGCTTTTAATCACTTATTGCCCTTTAATATTTAACTTTAACAGACAATATCACAATGATATAAACAGCAAATGTAGGACATTTGATGTGCTACAGCAAAGATATAGATATATTTTGTAAAATGGCTATATGACTGCTATTATAAGGTATGACAATCTGTAGCTAAAATGACTAGCTAGGCCTATTACGATCATGCGCTTTAATGGCCCGTTCTACATCGAGATAATGCTGTACCGCATCCTGGGTGCCAATAAATAAGTGGCGGCCGCCAGATAATTATGTGGTGGCCACCAGATAATTAAGTGGCGGCCGCCAGATAATTATCTGGCGGCTGCCAGTTAACTGATTTGAAATTTTTATTCACTGTTGACACTAACAGACTTCCGTAGTGATTCAACAGTTTGCTTTATAAATCAAATTATAAATGTTATTGTTGTTTTTGAAATTGTTATTATTATCTATTGAAGATATAATTATCTTATTAATGTTATCAGATAGTATTTATATTGAAACTATTCATAGTTATATCTATATTTTTATTTCCATTACAGTACAGTATTATTTTATTATAATTTATTATTACTATTGTATTGTTCCATAATCATCTATATGTGTATTAATAAGTATTATACTTTATTAATAATTATTCATTATTACTTTTTTCATGTTAATATTCTCTTGGTTATTGTTATTATTAAATGGTAATGCTTTAAGATTAGTAATGAAACCATTTAATTATGGAGGGTCATATTTGACATACAAGATTTAACATGGAATGGAGCCATTTCCACCCTAAGTATGGTGTACCGACAGCAGTGTAATAACATACTGTATATAAGCAAATATTTGGTCCATCTGAACCCTCATTAGGCAGAGTCCGATCGTCGTCTAAACCAATCGGTTACATAACACTATACAGAGTAGTGGTTATTCTTGAGTAAATAACTCATGGCAATACCACTGTTCATTTATATTACAGGCTATGCGATAAATATAGACAAAAAAAGTCAACATAAAAAGAGAAGATACCCACAATAATAATACATAGCCACAAGGTATAAAATTAAATTTGGGAGTGTACCCTACTGCGGGGGAGCTGCATGTTCCCCCACTCTTCTTTCTTATTGAGGCTGGGATTATGTATTTTAATTCTCTCTGCCTCCGTCACTTGTCGCATTATCGGGTTTCCTGCATGTTTAAAAGGATTTTGACCGTTAACTCCTTTATTTCTCTTCTGTGAATGATAATGATTATGCTGATTATTATGTCTATCATCCTCATACAACCTAAGTTACTTTAATTCTCCTACTTTAGATTACTAAGGGAAATACTGACACAGAATGTGTTTTTTGGAACTTTGAGTTGCTAAATGGGGTTGGTGGCTGGTCAAGTCAGGGATGCAGGTTAGTTAGAGGATCAGCAGATGGTAGTGATAGACAGTACTGTAATTGCAGTCATCTCACAAATTTTGCTGTTCTTATGGTAAGTCAGACAGAATAATTATTGATCATAATCATGATATCCTGTGGTCGATCAAGAAGGCTGATGGTAGAGGGTCTCAGAACAAACATGATTCCCGTTAATCATCCCTGGACAAGAGCCCATTGCAAGTTCTAAGCCAATCAGAACGTATAAACAATACTTCATAGGCATGGTCATAGGTCACAATGTCTAGGTATCGTTTGAAGAGTAGCGATGTGTGTGTGGGTGACTGACTAGGACTCGAAACACCGTATACACAATAACGTTATGGTTTCTGCATATTACAATTAATTTGTATGTATTAAAATATTTAAAATTTTCAAATAATTGCAGTATAATAAAATACCATAATTATATGCCTACTGTTTGGCAGTATGTAATGTATTCTCCGTGTTTATTTGTAAAGGTATTGCATTGCGAAAATTGCAAAATTATGGAACGCCAAAAGGACAAACCACAAGTGGCGCAGTGCAAAAGTAAAGAGGCACTGGCCACTTAACTTTACACATTGTCACTTGATTTTGCACTGGGCCACTTGACATTTGCACTGCGCCACTTCACTTTTGCACTGCGCCACTTCACTTTTGCACTGCGCCACTTGACTTTTGCACTGGGCCATTTGAAGTTGGCACTGCCACTTGACTTTTGTACTGCGCCACTTGTGGTTGTCCTTTTTTGCGATATCACGCCAAAAACCGCAGTGCAAAACTAAAGTGGTGCAGTGCAAACCCAAATGCGTGTGCACCACTTGACTTTTGCAAACGTTATTGTATGGAACGCCAATTTGGCATCGAAATGAAAATAAACTCATTATTACTATATTATTATTACTGTTATATTATTATTATTATTATTGGTGAATCGCTTCACAACCTCTCGTTATTGTCAGAGATCATCTTCTGATTCTTATTCTTCTTTCTTTCTCCCCATTTTTGTGCGCACGATATCTCAAATTTGACACAAGCTACGCACAATCGCGCTTCAACAAACATTTGGCTTGCCCTGGAATAGTCAAAATAAGGTTTTCAATGTGCTCAGTCATGTGTGACGTCATCTACACGCAATTTTGCGTTTTTACATTATCGATCATATATCGTAACCGCCAAATTTTACACCTTTTCCCCCAATTTTTAAATATTCAAAAGTCTGTCTCTCTTTCACCATTCCCCAGTTCTTCGTCAAACAACTTTTTTCTGTCTTAGAAAAATCAGGTCTACAACATATCAAAAAATTATTTTCCTCCAGTGTCTGACTTTAAAAATCACTTTTTGACTAAATTAGAGCACTTTTCAGGTGATTTTGAGCATTTTTGTTACATTTTCCACTACGTGCACACGTTTTTATGCGCACATCAAGTACGGAAGCTAGAAAATAAGTTTTTTTTTACATATTTTGGGCTCCTGACATTGTTTTCGCATATTTCCTTTCTTTTCGGTCATCTTATGGCCAACAGCAATTTCGTACGCGCGCACCAAACATAGGGATCTTTGCGCTAGTTTGTGCCGCTACTGTATACAGTGAAAATATGCTAAAATCAGGTCTATTTTTATTCAGTTATAAGCTCCTTAGAATGTATGGTAACCCCCAATTTATATTACATATTCTGAAAGCACATGACGTTTTTATCATGGTCAAAATAAATGTATTTTCTGACCCCCCCCCCTCATCTTTCATTCCTCCAAAATTTGATGACCCCATGTACTCCTAACCAGTCGTCATTTCTTCACTTTCTTCACTTTATTGATGTCATCATGGTTAAAATGAATGTTTTTCTAACTTCTTCCCCACCTCTTTTTTTCTTCAGTTTTTTCAGAACCTCAAAGAGAGCGCGGCAGACTTGATATTGTCTTGCACTGTTTGAAAATCCTGGCTACGGTAGTCTCCCATAATTCATACTTTTATGCGCAGAGAGATTTCTTTTGCCTGACAAGCAGATTACCTAACTCATCCTCAGTGACGAGTTCAAATCTAGTTTTAATTATTACATTGGTTTAGGCTTATTTGAATTATATGCATCGTTTTATTATGATATTTAATACTATACTACAATATTTGTTGTACTTATTACCGGTACTGTTATTTCTTTACTATTACTTCGCCTGTGCCATTGCCTTAGGTTATATTAATGACCACAGTATTGCCTTTATTTTGGTTCATATTTTCATTTATATTTCTATTTATTTTCATCTAAGTCATTGCTATAGACATCATCTGTTTAATTTAGTTATGGGAGAGATTCTCTTACTATATGGTTACATTGTGTCTGCGGCTTTTACTGCATTGTGGGCCTATTACTTTGACGTTCATGTCACTTTGTGCTGTATTGTTTTCTACTTTTACTTTGTTCTTTGTTTATTTGTTTTATTTATATATTTTGAAGTTTGCAGTACACCACGTAAGTAGTTCTGAAAAGAACTGTTTTTGTTGAGAAAGTCTCGACGTTTCGATTGAGATGCTTCCATCGTCTTCAGGAGAATAATATCAGATATTATTCTCTTGAAGACGATTGAAGCATCTCAACGTCGAGACTTTCTCAACAACAACAGTTCTTTTCAGAACTACTTACGTGGTGTACCGCAAGCTTCAACATATATATTATTTCTTCGCCATGCAAACCTTTAAGGAATACTTTGTTTTATTTACTTTGTTCCCTCTTGGGTGTGCCTGTTATTATAGCGCTTAAGGCAGTGATTTGTTTGTCTTTTATTTTTATTTTATCCTACTGTGATTGGTTTATGAATGAAGATTAGGAAGATCAAGTCATAGCCAGATATCCCAGGCTTGTGTTTATTTCTTGTTTTGGTTGCGGTCGGAAGACCGACACTTTTGGGTGCTGCATGTGAATTATATGTATCTTTGAAGCTGGCTTTTCTGAGCAAAAAGGTTTGTTTTTTAATTTTAGACCGCACTTGAGTAAAAGGCTAACATTTAATTGCTCCCACCACCACCCATTTACCCCTCCAAGTGTCGGTAGGCCTACAAGTTTTGGTGTGCGTGGTCTTCACACAATTGTCATTTGTAAAATGATAAAGAAAAAATTCCAAAACCATACAGCGTGCAAAAGTTTAAAGCAGAGATTTTGTGTTGCGGAAGAAAAAAAAAATTCTTGTGACCCATGGCTTAATGTCTGCACATTCTGATTTGCTTAGAAATTAAAATGGGCTCAACTTAACTGCAGAAAAAATAACTCGCACCCTTTTTCCCCTGTCGTGAAAGAAGTCAATTAATCTTCAGTATGTAAAGTATTTTTACAGCCTCTTAAAGAGTGCCATTTTCACGGCCATCTTATGGTGCATATTCTCAAAACCTCTGAAACTGCCACTAAGCTATTAAACGGCATTGAAAATCTTATTGTTTGCAGAATTTCTATCCCAATCAACCGGATGCCATCAGTGAGGTCATCACTAAAGTTGGTTTAAGCCTATCCATTGTAGGGCTTAGCCTGACATTACTGACAATTGTAGCAAACAGGTAAGAATTCCAGTTGACATTTGCATCATGCTATTGCCCAAATACAAAATTTAGTATGTGGATAACTATGTGTAGGCCTAGGCTTATTATAAACAAATAAATAATAAAATAAATGAGTAAATGAGAAATGAAAAAGCAATAATGAAGATTTTTTGGAAATGAAGAATAAAAGAAAATCAAAAACCCAAGAGGTGAATCTACAATTTAAATTCCATTTTATCTGGCATGAAGCATGTGCACAAATATAATTATGAATTAAAATACATAAATATATAAAATACATAAATATATAATTTAATTACATCAAATAAATACAATAGTCACGATGTAAACAAATAAATTGTCAGCAAGTAAATTTGATTTAAACATCAAAACTCTCTTTATCCCCCGCCCCCACTACAACACAGGGCCCATTTGTCCGAGAGCTGTAAATTCTTTACGAGGGAGGGGGTGCCCCTTCCCTTCGCTAATCAGGCGGTAGTCACTGTGTGTGCGCTAAACCGTGGAGATCTCTAGTTCCCAGTTCAATTTCCATCGATGCTCTCCTTGTGTTTCAGCTCAAGGGTTGAAATACAAGTTACAACGCAGTACACTCTTCGGAAAAAAGTAGAGGATTGTCTCCCAGTGTACTGCCCGATCAGCACCAGAAGAATCCCAAAACAAGTCTTCAGACTTCCTGGGTTATCCTTGGTGTGATTCACTCCGAAATCTTTATTTATTTTATTTACATAATAAAAATACTGAAAAATTGGTTAAGTATTTTAATAAATATTCCAGTGGGTTACTATCAGCATAGCAGGTAACTTTTATTGATAGACATTGATTCACATGGATACGCCTCTGGACACCCGGCATGATAGTGCCATTATCGGGCATCTATAGAGGTGACATGTCTTATTACTTTACACATCAGCCCCAAACATGGCTTGGATGAGGTAAGTGTGGCTCCAAAAGAATATATACAAAATATGAAATACAAAATACTTTATTGCAAATTTCATTAAACTATATTATACAGTTTGGAATCAAATTGAAGTTGAACAAAGGCAATACAGAACATTCAAAAATGGATTTAACTAAAAAAGTACACCAAGATAGAAAGACAATTGGATTATATAAACAAATTCAGATAAAATAATAACTAAGAACATAAATAAAGATGTAAATTTTAATTTTAATTACAATAAGAAAATCATTAAATCAGAAGAACATGACATGAACTACCAGTTGAGAAAACGCTGACGTCACCTCTGCTAAAAAAGCAAAACATTGACAGAAAAAAAAAATAATAAAATATAGAATGCCAGAATAAAAGATAAGAAAAGAACTAATTATTTTTAACTGAGTTTTTTTGTTTACCAGAATCATAAAATGTGATGGTATTTTAATTTTTATTGTAATGGCAGTTTACTTGAGGATACGGCATATCTAATGAATGTATAGAATAAAATATTGAATTGTATGAAGGTTTTAAATTAGAAGAGTAATGTCTTCACCATTTTTTTGTTAATAAAAACATAATAAAAAGCAAAAAAAAAAAAAAAGAAGGAAAAAAAAAAAGGGGAAAAAAATAATTTTAATTTTATTATAAAAAAAAATAAAATAAAAAAAAAGAATAT